TGCCTCCAATTTTTTATCAGACGGCAGGGCAGCTGCATGCTGCAGGTGACTCTAGAGGATCCCGCTATGATCAGAACACCTAGTATCTTTTTGTATGTTATGGATGTTGATCTTTTGGATGTTGATCTTTTGGATGTTATTCTCGGATCATTATGTCTCTATTTAGATGTTAACAACAATGGTTCCTCAAGTTTAATAGGGGGATTCTTGCATCATTATCATAGCATTACAAAAGGAACACAAAGCACAAATCTAAAGCTAAAGCACAAAGTCATTTTGTCATTACAAAAGCTAAAGCACAAAGTCATTACAAAAGCTAAAACACAAAGCTAAAGAGACGAGTTGGGGGCTGAAAAATCCGGCAACCCGTCGTTTTGGCTTTGTTTTGAGAAAAAGAGACGAGTCAAAACGACGTCGTTTTAACTCTCGGGTCATGGGTACTTATGCGGGTAATCCTAATCGCGGTATAGTAAACGCGGATTTGTGGTTAAATCCGGTTTAATGGCCGGTTCAATTGGAGGCGTATTAATCAAGATGAATCTGAAAGTTGAGGATGTTTTATTAAGAAAATTGTTAGTTGTTGGTGATTTTTTAAGAGCGAAAAGTATAGGGGGATTCCTTGAGTTTGCAAATAGTTGAGGGCTGAAAAATCCGGCAACCCTACTTATGCGGGTAATCCTAATCGCGGTATAGTAAACGCGGATTTGTGGTTAAACCCGGTTTAATGGCCGGTTCAATTGGAGGCGTATTAATCAAGATGAATCTGAAAGTTGAGGATGTTTTATTAAGGAAATTGTTAGTTGTTGGTGATTTTTTAAGAGCAAAAAAGTATAGGGGGATTCCTTGAGTTTGCAAATAGTTGGGGGCTGAAAAATCCGGCAACCCATGTAATCAAATCAACTAAGAGAGTGAAATAAGATGAAGAACATTTCAGCTATCTTCATATCTTACCTTTAGAGCTCTCTACTTACACTAGGATAGGATTAACTATTGACATATTAAAAGAAGAAGAAGAGAAAAATAATCACAAAAAGTCCATTGTGTTGATTAAGCAAGTGTATAAAAAATGGCTACTAGCGAAAAGAATCAACCAACACACGAGTTACTCAAGATAAAGTACTAACTAATGGGATTCGGTGTAGAGAATGGTCTATTCTAAATTTAAAATGGACCATTCCGGTCAAAGCAAATATTTTAAGTTATACTATATGCTAGTTTTAAAATATAATCATATATATATATATATATATATATAATTATTACGAGAAAGAGAAACAATTAAAAAATTGTGTGAAAAAATGTTGGATATAGTTGTATTTAAGTTACTTATAGTATAAAAGCTTGTAATATTTATTATTTAAGGTTTGACAAGTCTAAATGTAAGAGTGTGAGACTGTGAGTGATGACAATGGATTTTCAAGCCAAATTAATTGGTTTACAAGATTTTCATAGTCGTTTCAAACAAATGCGTTAAGGAACATCTTTTACTTGTTGATAACACATTTTGTTAGAATTATTGTATAAAATTCACACTAAAGATAATATTATTGGAGTTTTTATTGGGATAAAACTGAAATTCTTACTTGAACAATTTTTTAATATAAAAATCTTTATTAAGTTTAATCAAACTAGTCTTTAGTCAATCTTTTCATACGAATTTTATAAGAGTGTATTTACTTAATCAGAAATGAATGTACTTTGCCACGTGTATCCGTCTTATTGGTTTGATGACATGTAATCGTGTAAAAACTTGTTACAAAAAAGCTTCAACATCAGCCTGAAGAAGATCAACCCAAACCGAAAAAAAAAAAAAAAAAAAACTTTGAATCCGTTTGTTGTCTTCTTCGTCACGTTCTCTCTCAAACTCGCTGAGGTAAAGCTTCTTTCGTTTCTCCTCATAGCCCCATTTTCGATTTTGTCGATCTCAAATTACAGAGATTGGTAACGTTCTTGTGCAAACTTTCACCTAGATTAGTCGAGATCTTGTGGATCTGAGATTTCGTGGACAGTTCTGTGTAGATCTAGTTTCCGGATAGAGATCGATAACGCTTTTGTTTTCCGATTTCGTTGAATAGCTAGCTAGCTAGAGATCTTTTATAGAATCGCATTTAGTTTCAAGAAATTTCTCAATTGGTTCCAAATTTTGCAGAAACAGATAACTTTGAAGTAACAACCCATTCGATAATGGGAGGAGGATTTAGAGTTCTGCATTTGGTGAGGCCATTCTTGGCTTTTCTTCCAGAAGTTCAAAGTGCTGATAGGAAGATTCCATTTAGAGATAAAGTGATCTACACTGTCATCTCTCTCTTCATTTTCCTTGTCTGTAGTCAGCTTCCTCTCTATGGGATTCATTCCACCACCGGTGCTGATCCATTCTATTGGATGCGTGTCATTCTCGCTTCGAACCGTGGGACGGTGATGGAGCTCGGTATTACTCCTATTGTTACGTCTGGACTCGTGATGCAACTCTTAGCAGGTTCAAAGATTATTGAGGTGGACAACAATGTCCGTGAGGATCGTGCTCTCTTGTAAGTGTTTCCTTTCCGTAATTTTCTTGATCGAGTCGAGAATCGTTGTCTCATGTGTTCTTTGTGTTGTGTTTTTGTAGAAATGGTGCTCAGAAACTTCTTGGGATTCTGATTGCTATTGGTGAGGCTGTTGCGTATGTTCTTTCGGGAATGTACGGTCCTGTTGGTCAGCTCGGTGTTGGAAATGCTATTCTGATCATCCTCCAGCTTTTCTTTGCCGGAATTATCGTTATCTGTCTTGATGAGCTTCTTCAGAAGGGATATGGTCTTGGCTCTGGGATCTCTCTATTCATAGCAACTAATATCTGGTATGTTAAAAGCTTATCTTCGCATCAAAGTTTTTGTCTTTTGAGGCAAGATAGTTTTAGATAAAGAGATTCTTAAACGTTTTGAGTTGATTGGGGTGATGCAGTGAAAGCATTATCTGGAAAGCATTTAGCCCCACAACAATCAACACCGGTCGTGGAGCTGAGTTTGAAGGCGCTGTGATCGCGTTGTTCCATATGCTGATAACTAAGTCCAATAAGGTTGCTGCGCTCAGACAAGCTTTTTACCGGCAGAACCTTCCGAATGTTACCAACTTGCTTGCAACAGTCTTGATCTTCTTGATTGTTATCTACTTCCAAGGCTTCCGTGTTGTGTTGCCCGTGAGGTCAAAGAGTGCTCGTGGCCAACAGGGTTCATACCCGATCAAGCTGTTCTACACCTCCAACATGCCAATCATTCTCCAGTCTGCTCTCGTCTCAAACCTCTACTTCATCTCCCAGGTACTTGTGTTTTCTTTTCTTTCCTCATGAATAGACAACAGAGCTGAGAACATAAAGCTGACAATTTGCAATTTCTCGTCAACAGCTTCTCTACAGGAAGTTCAGTGGAAATTTCTTTGTAAACCTATTGGGACAGTGGAAAGAATCAGAGTACAGTGGACAATCTATACCAGTTAGTGGTCTTGCATACTTAATCACAGCTCCGGCAAGGTAATTCACAAGTTATGTGCGTCCCCATCAATATAACTATACTTGATTTCTAGTTCTCTGAATATTTGTTTTCCTCGGTTACAGTTTTGCCGATATGGCTGCTCATCCATTCCATGCTCTGTTCTATATCGTCTTCATGCTAACTGCTTGTGCCCTATTCTCAAAGACCTGGATTGAAGTCTCCGGGTCTTCTGCTAGAGATGTAGCTAAGCAGCTCAAGGTATTCCCTAAACCTTTTCTCGGTTGCTACATAATTCAAACATTCCGACATGGAAACTGAAAATTTTGTAAAATATATGATAGGAACAACAAATGGTGATGCCGGGACACAGAGAGTCTAACTTACAGAAGGAGCTGAACCGGTACATCCCAACAGCAGCTGCATTTGGAGGAGTGTGCATCGGTGCGCTCACTGTTTTGGCTGATTTCATGGGAGCAATTGGGTCAGGGACTGGAATCTTACTTGCAGTCACAATCATATATCAGTATTTTGAAACCTTTGAGAAGGAAAAAGCCAGCGAGCTTGGCTTCTTTGGATTCTGATTGTTTCTAGTCATATAAAGGGGTAAATTTTTGCTAAGACTAGTGAGAAATTTGAAAGCCTAATTAAGAAGTAGCTTTCATCTTCTGTGTCCACTCGGAGGATCAATAGACGATTAAAAAGAACATTTTGGTAGACACTTTTTGATTAACCAACAGATTTTTCTCTATTAGTTGTTGATTTGTGTTATTACTTTTTTCTTCAAAAAAATTCTCCATTGGTTACTAATTTGTGTTTTATTTGTGTAATTTGGACGGTGAGAGCTCTAATTGGGGAATTGAAATTCAGCAAACCGTGGAATAGTAGAAAAATACATTATTTTAGTTGAGATATGTAGCCATATAACTCACTGTACTTGGTATAGCTATCGATCACTTCCCTGAAAACAATCACCAATAAAACTCACTTATTTTGAATAAACAAGAGAACTTTAACAGATTAGACAACCTATTTAATACGATTGTCCTGGTTCAGATAAACCGAATCTGGTACACAATAATGATTTAAATTGCATCCGGTTTAAAAGAAATGTCACAAACCACAAAGGTCGTGTCCCAGAATCGTAGCGTATAATTTTAAAAGGGTTGTTTCCTTGGATTATTGATTGTTGATTATCTAGACTAGTATAGTGGAATAAGTCCACCATTATTTGGTGGAAAAAAAGTTAGACGTAATTTATTTGTCCACGTTGGCCCAAATTGAGAGTTAGTGAACTTAGGGTTACTTGACAAACTCTGATGCCTTCCAATTCATGATACTGATAAAGTAGGGTTTAAGGAAGTTAGGGTTTGGCGATTGTGACAATGAACTTCCGCCGTGTGATGGCTTCCGGTGTTCATCTCTGGAAGAGGGCCTGTACAACGGCCGCTGCTCTGCCGTCGGCTGGGATCAAGACCTCAAATACTGCTCCAACGGCGGCGGCTGGTGTCAAGGTTGATGATGCACTTAAGAGGGCGAAGGTGGCCTATGCGAAGAATCAGAAGAGGATGATGTTCGAGGAACTGCTTAATATGGACAAGAGTGGAGTAAAAGAGACAATAGATCAGTACAAGAGTGAAGAGCTGACGTATGTTTCCGTCACCAAATCAGATCTCCATCAATGGGCTAAGCGTTTCGACAAGCAGGGCAAATATGAACACGCCCTCGCGGTATGTCTGAATGATCTAGCATCTAATTAGACAGAATTCATCATCAAATGTTTTTAGTTTGTTTTGATTAGCTAAAGAATGTATGTTCTTCTTTTTTCTCTTGTAGATATTTGAATGGATGGATGGAAAGAAAATGTCTTTTACTGGCAACCAGTTTGCGGATTATGTGGCTCTTATTGCCGAGACTAAAGGCATGGAAGCCGCTCGACGCTACTTCAAGAAAGTAGACCCAAACTTCAACCGGATGGACAGTAATTGCAAGAATTGGCCTGCTTTCCAGAAGCTCCTTAGATTTCAACATGAACGCCCCGGAAAGAAGGGTTTAATGTATCTCAATTACGTAGGCAAAGTACGCCCTATAAGTGGTCTATGATCGTGGCCTTGTAGTAAGTTTGGTTTGGTTGGTGTGTAATAATGAATAAAGCACTCTTCTGGTTTCAGATTTCCTCTTTGCCTTCTTAATATATTCTGAGTTCTATTTTGAACCTAATTGTTACATCTCCTAGTGACTATATTTGTCAGAAATGCCTTTATCTAACCCACCATGTTGATTAATACTAGTAAAATTTTCTGAATGATAACCAAGAAGAGGAAAACAAGTTCATTAAAATTGTTACTAGATAGTATTTTACATCAGTTCTTGTACACTAACACTCTTGCGTTATTTTACTCCATTTTGCATTCCGTGCCTTACCAATTTACCATTGCTGTGTATTTGTTCATATCCCTGTCCTCAATAACTGGTGTCTTGTATTTAGCAATAGACTACAAACTCAAAACCACAACACAAACAAAACTGCACAAAAACCAAATCTACTTAACAATCGACCCACCAAATAACTGTATCGACCAGTATTAATAATCTTATTATTTGATCTCATATTCAAATGGACGTTACTTGTTTAGAACATTGCTCATTCGAAGTATTTATATACAACGAGTCAAGGATTTATAGGTCAATGGCCTCAGCCGTTTGATTGGTTTAGAGCTTGGGTTTCTGAATTTGAACAACTGTATATCTTACCCACATAAAATAAAAATTAGGCCGGCCAAATAGAAAAACAAAACAAATTTAAAATTTAATTCAAAAACATTAAGATCACAAACTATTTATGTAATTTGACAAGTATCCACGAATATTTTTGCTACTTAACGTCTCGATCACCACTAGTTGTGGATCTTAAGTCTTTTCTCAGTTAGTAGGCTCATTTTTATCCGATAATCAGTTTGCTATTTTTAAGGGCTTAAAAAATTTGTTTACTAATTTTACAAATTATCACATACTTTCTCCGTTTCACAAAGAGTGTCGTTCTGGAGTTATTTCTTTGTTTCAAAAAGAATGTCGTTTTACATTTTCAATGCAACTTTTGTAACTAATTTCTATATTTGCTCTTTTATCCAAAACTAAAATCCTTTGTATTTAAATTATTAGGAGTATTTTAAACAAAGGTATGTTTGTATATTCAATTAATTTCTTAATATGTGTGAAATGTGTCAAAATGGCACTCTTTGTAAACAGAGGAAGTAATTTTTTTTTATTTTGTCCCCACTTACAAAGTATAATTGGAATTTACTTCCCAATAATCTATTCATTTTAAAACTGCTCCAAATCAAACACATCCAATTATGGAATCGTCTCAAAATGTTTGATTGGAAAAATAAATTAGTGACATAATTAAATCAATTGTTTTAAACTTTTCTTATTCACCACCATATTTATAGCTTTCAAAATATTACAAAACATGCATACTTAATGTTTTTATAAGATTTTCTAGCGAGTTGGTTCTATTTTGTTTTTCCCATTGCCATTTTTTCGATTATTAGTGTTTTGTATGTTAAATTTGCCAATTTTCCAATTACTAATATAACAAAACAAGTTTTAGCTAACGATTTTTCCAAAGTTTTACAACAAAAAATATGTTTATATAATTTAACAAGAGGTAATAATATATAGACATATAGTATATGTTTTAAAATTTTACATTACACTATTAAAGATTCCAATAATTAAAAACATATGTTACAATGAGTAAATTTTATTATCACACAATAAACTCCTCTTTGCTCTAAGAAGAACCCTATGCTAGTGAACCGTTGACTCTGGAAAGATGCAAGTGCAAGGTGTCGCTGAAACTTTGAAGGCGCGTGTAGAAAAATGTTAAGCTAAAGGGAAGTTCACTTTCTTTAACAAAGTTTTGCGTTGGTAATTTGGTATATTACAACTAAAAGAATCCATTATAGCTAAACCCAACTTTAGATCTTCATAGTTTCAAACATTTTTTGTGTGTGATCAGTTTACCATCAAACTATTTCATATTTTTGCAATATGTAATAAAAACTTTTTTTTTTTAGTTGAACTTACCATTTATATTAGAGAAATTGTTAAAAATGCCCCTTTTTCAATACCCCTTTTCAAAAATGCCCCCATTGAGAGTCCATTTTTAAGTTTGCCCTCTTTTAATTTTTAATGACCATTTTACCCTTATTTGAAACAAAATTATGTCCACAAAATACAAAATATTTTTTGGCGGGAAAAGTGATCCCGTAATTTTCCCGCCAAAACACTTGTAAAAACCTTTAAAAAACCTTGTAAAATTTTCCCGTAAAAATTTTTCCCGCCAAAAAATTTTCCCGCCAAAAAAATTTTTTTGCGGGAAAAGTGATTCCGCAATTTTTTTTGCGAAATTTTTTTGGCGGGAAAATTTTTGGCGGGAAAAATTTACAAGGTATTTTAAAGGTTTTTTACAAGGTATTTACAAGTGTTTTGTAAGGTTTTACAATGTATTTTAAAAGGTTTTACAATGTACTTTTAAGGTTTTATAAGGTATTTATAACTTGTAAAACCTTATAAAAAACTTGTAAAACCTTATAACTTGTAAAAACCTTATAAAATAGCTTGTAAAATCTTATAATATCTTATAAATACCTTGTAAATACGTTATAAAACCTTTTAAAATACATTATAAAACCTTATAAATACCTTGTAAAAAACCTTTAAAATACCTTGTAAATTTTTGGCGGGAAAAATTTTCCCGCCAAAAATTTAACGCCAAAAAAATTGCGGAATCACTTTTCCCGCAAAAAAAAATTTTTGGCGGGAAAATTTTTTGGCGGGAAAAAATTTTACGGGAAAATTTTACAAGGTATTTTAAAGGTTTTACAAATTTTTACAAGTGTTTTGGCGGGAAAAATTGGGGATCACTTTTCCCGCCAAAAAATATTTTGTATTTTGTGGACCTAATTTTGTTATATTTCCTTATATATTTATGATATCTTTTATTAAAAGAAGGGTAATTTAGTCATTTTGTATATAAAAGGGGTATTTTTAAAAATGGACATCCAAAGGGGGCATTTTTGAAAAGGGGTATTAAAAAAGGGGCATTTTTGTGAGTCTCCCTTTATATTAACTTATCAAATGGCAACGATTACAACAGATAAGGGACGACAGACCCTGCAAAAACAGAAGGAGATTACAACTCAACCTTGGAAAAATTGAAACCAAGTTGAGAAGAAAGAAACAGTCGAAGGAAGGCATCTCTAAACCATTAGAATAGTTAAAAGTATTTTTTTTTTTTAAGAGGGTAGAAGACAGGAATCGTTGGCGCGATGATAGATTTCTATCTCGGAGAACTGAATTATGTATATGTAAGTCTTCTTCTTTATCTCCAAATTTGCCAAATCGGTTAAACCATTAGAATAGTTAAAGTTTATTTGCTTTTATGGGTTTAATGAAACTAGCGACGAAAAAAAAAAAAATTGTAGCCTTCATGCCTTCATGGTACCAAATAACTCTCCTTTATTATAGAGAGGGTGTTTGAGTTTGAACAACCTTACTTTTACTCAAGGCTCAAGAGCATTGAAACCAAGTTAGTGGAATAAGTTGACATAATTTTTATTCTGGGAGGGCCGGCCGGCCCGAAGTTGTAATGGGCCGACTTTGAGAGTCGTAAATTCCTTATTAATGCAACCTTGGTTGGTTCTCTCACTATTTAAAAATAGGTTGTTAGTAAACATCTAGGGTTTTGACGATTGTGGAAATGAGCTTCCGCCGTGTGATGGCTTCTGGTCTTCATCTCTGGAAGAGGGCCTGTCCAAAGGCCGCTGCTCTGCCGTTGGCTGGGATCAAGACCTCAAATACTGCTCCAACGGCGGCGGCTGGCGTCAAGGTTGATGATGCACTTAAGAGGGCGAAGGTGGCCTATGCGAAGAATCAGAAGAGGATGATGTTCGAGGAACTGCTTAATATGGACAAGAGTAGAGTAAAAGAGACAATAGATCAGTACAAGAGTGAAGAGCTGACGTATGTTTCCGTCACCAAATCAGATCTCCATCAATGGGCTAAGCGTTTCGACAAGCAGGGCAAATATGAACACGCCCTCGCGGTATGTCTGAATGATCTAACATCTAATTAGACAGAATTCATCATCAAATGTTTTTAGTTTGTTTTGATTAGCTAAAGAATGTATGTTCTTCTTTTTTCTCTTGTAGATATTTGAATGGATGGATGGAAAGAAAATGTCTTTTACTGGCAACCAGTTTGCGGATTATGTGGCTCTTATTGCCGAGACTAAAGGCATGGAAGCCGCTCGACGCTACTTCAAGAAAGTAGACCCAAACTTCAACCGGATGGACAGTAATTGCAAGAATTGGCCTGCTTTCCAGAAGCTCCTTAGATTTCAACATGAAAGCCTCGAAAAGAAGGGTTTAATGTATCTCAATTACGTAGGCAAAGTACGCCCTATAAGTGATTATGAGTAATGATCGTGGCCTTGTAGTAAGTTTGGTTTGGTTGGTGTGTAATAATGAATAAAGCACTCTTCTGGTTTCAGATTTCCTCTTTGCCTTCTTAATATATTCTGAGTTCTATTTTGAACCTAATTGTTACATCTCCTAGTGACTATATTTGTCAGAAATGCCTTTTATCTAACCCGCCATGTTGATTAATACTAGTAAAATTTTCTGAATGATAACCAAGAAGAGGAAAACAAGTTCATTAAAATTGTTACTAGATAGTATTTTACATCAGTTCCATGTACACTAACACGCTTGCGTTATTTTACTCCATTTTGCATTTCGTGCCTTACCAATTTACCATTGCTGTGTATTTGTTCATATCCCTATCATCTATAACTGGTGTCTTCTATTTAGCAATAGACTACAAACTCAAAACCACAACACATTTTAAACCCAAACAAAACTGCACAAAAACCAAATCTACTTAACAATCGACACACCAGATAACTGTATCGACCAGTATTAATAATCTTATTATTTGATCTCATATTCAAATGGACATTACTTGTTTAGAACAATGCTCATTCGAAGCTTTTCCCACACGCCCATTGTCGCCCAGTACTGGACTAAATCATCCCGTAGGCTCATTGATAACCCAAGCCTTGCCCAAGTCCCAAGGCTACAAACTAGTTAGTATCAAATCTACACATGTATAAATCGAACCAAATTGATAATTTGGCTTCATAGTAATAGTTGCAATTTTGATGATATAATACTATCAATTATATTTTAAATAGCATGAGATTTATATTGGTCATTTAAATATACTTGATTTAATAATCTTTAATTTTAAATATCTAATTTAATGCTATGTTTTCTTTGTCAAGAGATTATTATCTAGATAATTTCTTTTATTTAATTACTATTTAATTGAATTCTAAGTCAGATACATTTCACTTAGATAAGAACACAGGTTTTACTCCAGCCGTATGTCCCCACGTGTTGTGTTATCGTTCTATTTCCATTTCCTTTTTATTTGTTCTTACAGTGAATTTGGGATAAATTAGTTAAAAATATTTTGTGATATGTTCAAGATATATAGCATTTATGTAATCGAATTAACTGTACAAGAAATATTTTTAGATACAAACTTGATAAAATTGTGGACTCTATTGAGAATCCGTAAATGTGGATCGATATAATTTTCAAAATTTAATATTTAGGGTTTAGGATTTAGCTATAGTATTTATAAATTTTAAAGTCGCTCGTAGAGTTTAGGAGTATATATTCGACAAAACTACTGTAACTTAAAACATTAATCTTTTGTATTCAGATAGATCTATATCTACCATGTAACATATTGAGTTTCTATGCAGTTTAGTTTAGCTACTATGAATTGCTACAAAAAAAAATCAATTATCACTCAATGATTTAAATTATAAATGATGTAATAAAATAATAATGTCTCCATTTTATTTATCTCACGAAACTTTCTCGCATATCGTTGTTCTTGTAACAAGCAAAAGATAATGTTGGTATTTCACTTTTCTGACAACGTGGGTCCATGGCTATTTTGCAACAAACCTTCTCTCTGTTATTTTCTTATTTCCAGTGTTTTATTTGGCTATTAATTATTCTTTTATGTGACACAATGACGGCGCTACATTTTTAACATGGTTTAATATACGAATTTTATGTGACACGATGACGGTGCTAACAAAAAAACGACGGTGCTACATTTTTAACATGGTTTAATAAAAAAAAAATTGATGTGACACAATATCGGCGCTGATAAAAAATGACGGCGCTGACAAAAAATGACGGCGCTACATTTTTAACAATGGTTTAATATATAAATTTCACGAGAGATAATGAGGCGATAATACATTTGTATATGGTTTAATATAAATAAAATGGAGACGGGCTAGTCAGATCACTGTGTGGTCTGGATACTGGATTATCAAAAAAAAAAAAGAGGAAACAAAAAATCCTGATTGGCACAAAAAGTGGAAAAGTATTGTAAAATTAAAATGTGTATAGTCACTAGTGATTTAAGATTTTTCTACACACAAATTAAGAAAACACATAATTATCATGGGTAATATTAATTAATAGCCCATATACATAATTTTAAATTTGGGTTCTTGTTAAGTTAAAGTTCATGCTCATTTAGATTTGGATTCATGTTGATCGTATTTATAATATGACTCTTAATCATTCTCTAAATATTTGAGCCTATGTGGGACATTGAACAATATATGTATGTTTTTAAAATTTCGAATTACAATATATGCAGAAAAAAATTTGATTTAAGAATTTTTTTATGTATTATATGATTATTCAAAGCAATAAAAACAAACAACGATGATAAGAGAATTATAATATTAAATCTTAACCAACTCTTCTAAATATCTATATTATTAAATATGGAATATTATATTCACAATTTCTATATATTTTGACTCTATCCAAATACAAAATGTATTTCAAAAATACTACTAGTAGAGATTAGCATTTGTTTACAAGAAAATTGAATTCAAATTATAAAGAGTCACAACACAACCAAGTATTTATGAATTGTCCCGGTTCAGGTAACCCGAATTGATTTTAATTTTGCATCCGGTTTAGAAGGGATGCCACAAAAGCGGTGTCCAAAATCAAAGCGTAGGGTTTTAAAAAGGGTTTCTCTTCTCTTCTCCGTCGTCGTAGTCTCGGAGTAAATTACGGCGGCGATATAAAATGCCTCGAGTCATCCCTCCGGAGAATCTCGGTTGCCCACCGATCCGTGCTTTAACCTTTGACTCTCTCGGCTTAATCAAAGGTTCCCACTTCTCTCTCTCTCTCTCTCTCTCTCTCTCTCTCTCTCTCTCTGTTTTTACTTGGTGGGAAGTTTTGTTTTTTTTTCTGATAGATTTTTCAATGTTGATGTGCAGTGACTGAAGCTCGTGGTAAAGAGAGAGGTACTCCGACTGTAGTGAACACATGGGGAGAGATGAATGCATCTAGGACTGTTCTTGCTGCTTCCATTGATGACCGGTTAAGGAATCCGGTAAAGTTTCATTCTTTTTCATGTTTATGTTGTTAAGCTATGGTTGAAGCTAAGTTTGATTTCTACTGCTGATTATTTGAATTTAGCTTATAGGATTTGAACTTGTGATTCTTGGTCCTCGATATAATAATTATGTTAATCCTGAGTCAAATTTGAGGTTTCCATTGTATTCCTTGTTTCATTAAGAGTTTGAGTCTATTGTTTTGCTTGGTATTTTGAACTATGAGTTTTGGCTTTCGTTTAGTAGTGATTGAGAACTTCTCGGTAATATGTTATCATTTCGTTTGCATCTATGCTTCAATTTCATAATCTCTGACTCATGTGTTACTAATTCTGTGGTAACATTTATAATTTGGTGAATGTATCCTCAAATTTGAGAAGGCCTTTCCTTTGGCTTCACGTATTTTGCCTTTCCTTTTTAGTTTTCTAGTCAAAATGGCAAACTCTTAACTTGTTTATTTATTTCAATTGCAGCTTTTGGCTGTTGCAAGAAAAGATGGCAATGTAAGTTTTCCTTACTTTAAGCTATGTGTATTTGTGTAATACATTTATCTCCGTAGCCTAGCTAACATTTATCCAATCATTTTGTTCATTTCTATCCTTTCCATAGGTTGAGGTTCTTAATCCTTGTAATGGTGATCTTCACTTTTCATACTCTGTTTTTGGTGATGATGGTTGTTCCCCTGAGGATAACGAAATTTCTGCCCTGCATTTATTCAGAAAAAAGATAGATGATCAGGCAGAAAGGTATATAACTTTACACTGATTCTTCGAAATTCCCAGTGAATTATGTTTTGTATGTTTTGTTGCCATTGACGTTTCTAAATAAAACTTGGTGTTATTAGATCTTGCACATTGCTTACATGCACGAAAAAGGGAGATGTGAGCCTCAGATCAGTTAAATTTCCAGATTCACATGGTGATTCCACGGATGATGCTTCTCCTAAAACTTGGAAAGCATGTGGTTCTGGTGAAATATTGGTTGGTAAAGTGGATGGGAGCGAAAACTTCAGCTTATTTGGAGGGTTAGTAGTTGAGAACTGAATTGATTTGCTTATCTTTGCGGATCATTTTGTTATATCTCGGGTTGGCTGTTACAATACTGAAATGAATGTCTGATGCAGGAAACGGGTTGAGGCCAATATATGGGATCTTGAACAATGTACTAAGATCTGGAGCGCGAAATCCGTGAGTTGCTTTCTCATCTTTATGCCTTTCAAAGCCTCTCAGTTTCTTTGATGGACTAACTAAGCCTTTGCTGTCTCTTCCAATCAATCTCTGTTTGGTGCAGCCTCCTAAGGACAATCTCGGAATCTTCACGCCTACCTGGTTCACTAGTGCTACGTTCTTGAGCAACGATGATCACCGTAAATTTGTCACGGGAACCAAGTCTCACCAGGTTAATACCTTTAGTATCACTTGTCAGTTTGAATCTTGTCCTGATCACTCACAATTTGCCTGTGCTGGAGATAGGTCCGTCTTTATGACATTTCTACTCAACGTAGACCGGTCCTGTCCTTTGATTTCCGTGAGACCGCCATTACAGCAATCGCGGAAGACCCAGACGGTCATACTATCTATGTCGGGAATGCTTCTGCTGACCTCGCTTCCTTTGATATACGAACAGGTTCATTGATTCTCTCTACAAATGAGCATAAAATATGTTGCTTACTGAACAAATAATTAACCAATCATATCTGTTGCAGGAAAGCTGTTGGGAAGCTTTTTAGGAAAATGCTCTGGAAGCATAAGATCTGTGGTTAGACATCCACAGCATCAAGTGATAGCTTCTTGCGGTAAGATTTGTTGTTGCAATTTCAACCTCCATATACCGTTACAACAATCTCATGTGTGTTGTTTTATTAGATTGTTCAACAGTCTCATTTGTGTGTGTTTTTATTGAATTTTTCAGGCTTGGACCGATATTTACGGGTTTTTGACGTGAAGACACGCCATCTCATTTCTGCGGTATGCTCTTCAACATGCAACTAGTATTTTTTTGGTGAAGTGGAGTGTTACTTATTTATCATTGTTTTATTGCAGGTTTTCTTGAAGCAGCATCTTACAGGTCTTGTATTCGACTCAGGCTTTTCTGGAGAAGGTTTGTTTTCTATTGCAGTTGACAAATCGCATCTATGTTTGTATTCCTTTGTTAGTATGTTTTTAAGATGATTGGTTTTGTGGTTGAAGCAGAGACAGCTGAAGCAAACACAGTGGTTGAGGCTGCGACAGAGGAGAAGATGACGATCATGGACCAGGAAGATGATGAAACAGAGGAGGCTCCTGTGAAAAGAAAGAAGTCAAAGAAAGAGAAACGCAGTAGAGAAATAGTCTTTGAGGGTGAAGACGATGAGGAGAATGAAGACGAGATTGAGAAGGCTCCTGTCAAAACAAAGAAGTCAAAGAAAGAGAAACGCAGTAGAGAAAAGGTCGTCTCTGAAGGTGAAGAGAAAGATGAGTTAAGAAGCAAGAAGACACGAGAGCACAAGAAGAAGACCAAGAAAGTGAAACACAATCAAGAAGACTTGGTTTAAGTTTTGAAGACACATTGTTAACTTTGCTCTGATCCGAGCTACAGTTTTGAACAAAACACTCGCACAAAAGAAACAGAGTTTGTGTGTTATCTATTAAGACTAGTTTTGATAAAACTAAGCCTCTTCTCAAGGTCTAAAATCGTTGGGAAAGTTACAATGTGCATTAAAAGACTAAAAAAGGAACATTTTAAACAACAATCCTGCATCATTCAATTTCAACTCATTGTTAGAAAGAGGGAGAAACCAAATATTAACCATGTCTCTCTTTTCGGTAACTGTAACTTCCTGGATATTGATACTATTGCAAAAAAATTCGGGTTCTTTTCAAGCCGGAAGCTTAAGTTTGGTGTTGGTTTTCCAGCTAAAACAAAATCGAAGCGGATCCAAAGTCAGTAACATGATCAGTGGCTATAAAAGGTTTAAGAGAATATTTATTCAGACTGGTGAGGGTACTTTACCTTATGTAGTAGTAGTAGAAGAAATCCGCGTAGAGAGCTGTTTGGACAAGACCGGACACACAAGCTGGAAAATGCAAATACGTATAACATTAGCACTGAGGAAAAACAAATGGTTAAAATGTAATTAGTGCTTCTTTGTTGAAACATTACCAATCCATCTAGTGAAATGATCTTCTGTGAAATAGCGATAGATCCAGTTGATGATATAGAGTCCACGATACGCCCTGCATGTTAATCATTGCCCATGTGAGTGCATACAGAATACTTACTCAAGTTTGCACATTGAGATATTGTATACTGGACACAAAGGTATGCATCAGAACCAAATGCATAGCAAGCCTAAACCATTCTAATTTCCTTTATTTAAAAGAATATGGTTCAGCTCAATTTCCAGACGGATACAGATTAGATGGAAAAACAATGTCTAGATTTTAGAAGTATGCACTGATTTTTAAACGCCACACTGACACTGGAGAGCGATTCTCATTGATATCGATCAAGTTAACAAGAGCTGTGAACGACACAGTATATCAATAAGATAAACCAATTCTAAAAACAAACCCAACAGAGAATGCAGGTAGGTAGTACTCATGCTATATCAACATCGAGTTCCAAAACAAGATCCCATTAAAAGCCAGTGGAGATCAAGTAAGTAAGCGCATATGTCTGGATAGAATTACGTACCCGAGAAAAACAACATATTGCCCAGTCAAATTGTCGACATTCCCACTTCTCTGTAGCAGAACCAACTGGGGAAGGATAGCAACTGCCTCTAAGTAGATAGAAAACGCCCAGAACACCTGAAATGGTTTGGAATTAACAGAATTAACTTATTGCACTATGATTCTGGCACTATACACAGACAGGCCACAATGCTGCAAAAATATTTAAGAATACAGTTCAGGGTGAAGGCAGTTGCAAAGATGAAATTTTTACCAAGAGCATATATTGGAAAAATACATATGAAGGTAGTAAGGGTAAAAGATCTTGGTGAAGTGCATATAAGGAGTTACTACAGTTTCTTATGAAAACTTAATCAAAGAACACTTTGGCCAGAAAAGTAACAGCGAGATACAGATGACACTAATCCATGGGCACCTTATGGAACATAGGTAGGTAGGACACAGAAGATTCCATTAATGCAAGCAAACAAACCTTTCACGATGCAACAGTTTGACATTCAATGAGCTTCTGAAAACAAACAGCGAGATACTGAGAGGCTACATATGTAGTGCAACGTTTAAACAAGCTAAAATAAAACTATAAAAGCCGGACTCCTAATTGGTTCTGGAAGGAGTTATGTTCGATTCATTTACATAGACGATATTCTATTCTACACTAGCCAAGATAGTTACCAAATCCAAATGATATAAGAAGAAGGAACCAAATGCACCAAATGAATGAAAAAACCAAAAACAAGATTACACACCATATGCATGTCTTCTATCAACAAGTATTCGCTTTCCTAGTCTCTACAACCTAAAAATACAAAAGCAATGTGAAATTCATATGAAAATACCTCTTGAAAAGTGAATTTTTCATTCAGGATAAGTGCCAGAACAAAACATGCTAACACAACATATTGATGACGAAATGTATCCAGGTCCTTATCGTATGACCTCCGCACAAGAGGATGCCTACGCATACACCAAACGATAGCCAAAGAGCTAGCAATGAAGACAATCTTCATCACGCTGTTGTACAGAGATACATAATCCGTAAACAGATCCAAGTACCGAGTCAAGAACACAAGCGCATATAGCTCTTGAGTCTTGAGAGAAATTCCTAGCCATCAAATCCAAAAGTCAACAGAAACAATGTTAGAAGCTGCACAATGTATGAGAAAATCATGAGCATCTACAAGCATTTTCCATTAAACCTAATGCAATTTAGGCGAGAGAGATCTCACTCGTTTAGTAGAAAATCCATTATAGTTTCTAAGATTGAGATTTCACAACTGATTTTGACTTGAAATTTCAAATTACCAACTCGGATTCGCCTCGAAATCGATCATAAAAGCTCAATACGATTCAAATAAGATTGCATTTGGAAGCTATGGAAAACGAAAACAAAAGGTCAAAGCAAATGCGATTGTTTCTTCTACGAGCTCGTCTTCAAAATATAACAACACATTTCATGAAAGAGAGAACTCACCAGCGCAAGATTTCGTCGCGTAGATTTTGAGAAGAAGGATTAAGACACTGATCAAGTGACTCATATCGCCAGCAAATCTAAAGATATTCATGGTTGACCACAACACGGTAGAGACTCAACAACGATTCCAAAATTTTCCAGGAAAAAAACGAAATCGAACGAATTTTTTCTCTCTTCAAATCGAGAGAGAAACGAATGAAGAGAGGAGCGAGAAAGAGAGAGTGCACGTTTCAGGTTTTGCAGAAATTCGTTCCGAGGAGACGATGACGTGGCAATCTGGAACGGTCTTTCTCTCTAACGTGTGTGTGCTTACTTTATTTCCTTAAAACTAAAAATTAGTCCTTCATTATTCGACTAATTATTGTTTTTTTCCTAAATTAGATGCTTTTTAATTTTTGAAAGTGGAGAGGTGGTGTTATCTGGTACGTCGCACCTTTGGTAAAGTATAAAGCGCCAGCTACGGTGGGTCTCTATTGCACCAAATTAAGCCACGTGTTAACGAAACAGTGATGTGGCAGCTTGGTACGCGACATGTTGTGGTGTTTTACTTATTTTAATTCCTCGTGTTCTCCACGTGTTTATTTGTCAAAAACAGTTAGAATTACTCAATTAGTTGAATGGACCGGTTAATAGCTGGTTCTTAATGGATATGGGCCTTCTGTTATCACATAACCATAATTGATTTTTTTTCTTTTGGTTTCCATTGTCTTTGTATGGTGTAGTTTTTTTTTTGATATGGAACAAAATAGCAGTGTTAACCAAATAATGTGATTGGAGAAATGTTTTTTTTTTTTTTTTTTCGGAGAAATGGTTTTTTAATATATATAGTTACTAATAAGTCGTCTAAAATTTGGCCATAGATGTTTCTTCAAGAGCTATATATATGATTTACGTATATAATTAAGTGGATAAATGTGCTCTGGTATGGTAGTTCTGTATTTATATTTTTCGGATAAACAGTTTTGCAGAGTTTGCCATGAAATGTTTGGTAGACTTGAGTCGGTTACGTATCATATTTATGCTTGTGACTTTAGGAATATTTGTTCTAGTTTTTTTTTTGGTTTAAATCTTTTCTTTTGCAAAGATGATTGAAATGTATAGTTAGTTTTTAGTCATAAATATGTAAAATGATATTCAATGCTTCGCTTCAAAGTTCAAGACTTCGTTTTTCTTGTGAAGAAATAGACAAACATGAAAATGATGTATGAACGTCATTTAAACCAAAAAAAAAAATGTATGAACGTCATGAGTCATGACTCATGAAATATAGGACACGTAAAAATGTTTGTTTTTTCTTGATCTTTTTTTTTTTCTCGTTTGTTTTTTCTTTATCGTTAGTCAAAGAAACCTAGCATTACTAATGCTCCTACGTTAGACACCGTGGTCGGTCCGATTTTCTGTCTGGAGTACTGTTCGACCTACCGATTGTAGAGAATATTTTAAAAATCAACTATACCATTTTCAATTGTGTATCTCTTAGATTTTAGAAATCTTCCTTAGCCATTGATTATCAAACAGTCTGAAATCAAAGACATGTTCTCACTCCTAACTCCTGAGTTTTCTGAACACAGTGAAACAACAATTTCCCCTATTAAATAAGTTATATGTGCAATTAAAAATAGATAACATCACGTGAGGTGATTCTCGACACAATGCAACTAGCCAACTACCACAATCAACAAAGTCGCCGCTTTAGTAATTTCCTGTTGTGATGATAATTAAGGTAGTTCAGGCATGAGATTTTAAAGGTTGATAAGTCATAGTGGAGTCAGTTTTTTCTTAGAGAAACTGAACCTCATTTATAATAACAGTGTTTTTCTTTAGAACAAATTAAACAAAATCCACTTTATTTACAATTACAATTATATATTTGGAATATTTAGAAAATTTTAAAAATTTAATACTTTTAAGATGTATTCATTAATTTTACGGTTGTGGTATGTGTTTATCGGTTTAAAGTTTGAATACTAAAATAGTAGTTACTATTGTCGCTTACCGCTACTTTTTACTGTTTCTACTTTTTAGTTATTTTGATATTACTCACTACTATTTTTTTTTATTGTTTTGTGTCACCAACCAGATCCAATATTTAAATGTATATGTAAACACAAACGTAAATATAAACCAAAACCTTTAGTAACTTAAACAAAATCATTTTGTAAATTGTAAACACAAATATCAAAGAATATGAAGTGAAAAAAATATTATAACAAAAGAAAGAAGATATGAAATATTCTGATATGTAAAAGTCGTAAACCGATCACAAAAAAAAATGTTTTAAACTATGAAGATCTAAGGTTGGGTTAGTTTTAATGGATTCTTTAGTTGTAATTTACCAATGCAAAACTTGCTTAAAGAACTTACTTTAGCTTAACATTTTTCTCCACGCGCCTTCTAGGTTTCAATGACACGTGGGACTTGCTTCTTTTCAGAGTCAACGCTTCACTAGCATAGGGTTCTTCTTAGAGCAAATAGAAGTTTAGTGTGTGATATAAAATTTACATTCTAACATATGTTTAAATCATTGGAATCTTTAATAGTGTAATGAAATTTCTTAAAACATATACTATTAATTATTACCTCTTGTTAAATTATAAAAACATTTTTTCCTTTACAACTTTGGAAAATTCATTAGCTACAAATATGTTTGTTGTATTAGTTATTGGAAAACCCGGTAATTTAACATACAAAACAATAATAATCGCTTTGCCAAAAAAAAAGAATTGCCCACAAGAAAAAAAACAGTAATAATTGAAAAATGGCAATGAGAAAAAAGAAAAATCTGATGAAAGTACAAAATAGAACCAAATAGAGCCAATTCTGTAGAAAATCTAACAAAAATACTAAATAAAAAATCTTATGTTATTCCAACATGAATTTTTAAAAATCATCTAAAATTAAGTATTACTGGATTAGTAATTTTAAAAATGTACAATCAAATCCATTGTTATTGAAAACATTTTAAGTAATGGATTTAAAATAATTTGTGTGATTTTAAGTGATATTCCCGAAATTTCGTAGTTAAAAAATACAAATATCAAAATTTCATGGTTTTAGGTGAGATTTCAGAAAATTTCAATAACAAATGTTCTAATCCACCAAAATTCACCATAATTATCTCAAAACTCATTAAATCTCAAATCATTCTAAATTTCTTTTTCAATACACCCTAAGTATTGAATAATTCTTGAGATGACCCCTAGGTATGCATGTTTTGTAACATTCCAAAAATTGGAAATATGCTGGTGTATAAAGATTTTTTTTTAAAAAATATAGATTTGACCATTTATATAAATTGCATTTATTTTTCTGATCAAACGTCATGAAAAATTTCAAAATTAAATGTGCTTGATCACGAGTAATTTAAAAATAGGTAATTTATTGAGAAATGATTTTTGGTATCGTATGAGTGGAGACAAAACATACAAAAAGATCACCTAATAATTTGTAAAAATCAATAAACAAATCTTTAAAATTTCAAAAATCGGATAAGAATGAACTTACGGGATCAAGATGTTAATATTTGCAGTAAAAAAATAATCGTGAATACTTGTCAAAATACATAAATAGTTGGTGATCTTGATGTTTTTGAATTTGTTTTATTTGTACTGTATTTTAGTTTTTCTATTTGGCCGGCCTAATTTTATGTTTATGTGGGTAAGATGTAGTTCAAATTCAGATACCGAAGCTCTGAACCAATCAAATGGCTGAGACCATTGACCTATAAATCCTTGACTCCTTGTCTATAATACTTTGCACTCCTAATCAACTCACGAATTTTTTTTGTCGTATCAATTAACGACTCTACTAATAGTATAAGAGAATTATACAAATTTGTCAGAATTAAATGCTGTTTTTATTTCATGTCGTGTGTTTCATGTAACGTTTGCCGACCTAAATAGGAGTAAGTGAATTACCGGTTGGTCAAACAAACCTAAATAAGGGGCAATGAATGATTTAATAACACATATCGTAATATCGAATCTGACGATACGTATAAATATTCTCAAAAAAAAAAAAAAAAAAACGACGAACCACGAGACACTCATAAATATTTTGCAGAAGAGCATTAAATTACAAGTGGGACTAATTTAAATAAATTAATACATGTATTTTTTCCGACAGAACAACAAATTAAAAAAAAAAAAAAAAGACAAATCTGGTAATAAAAGATTAGATTCTAATCCGTTACATTTCAGTAGTATTGACTTTTACTGGGAAAAACAAAAAAAAAAACTTTCGAGAGAGAGAAAAAATCTGACAACGAAGACAAAAACCAAAAGAAAAATTCTCAGCCTTTCGATTCATTCATATACGATTACGCGTTCTTCTTCTTCTTTCTTCTTCCTTCTCTATTTCCCAGAAAGTATCATCGAAAGAAACCCTTTTTCACTTTTCTTCTCCTCTGACTTTTTTCTTCTTCGAATCTTCAGTTTTCATTTTAGATTCTGTTTTCTTCTTCTTCTTCGTTGTGTATATAATAAAGCTTGGATTTTTCGATCTGAGAGCACGAGAAAACCCCTTCCATGGCCTCAGCGGCGATATTCTCATCGTTACGTCGGAGGAGATCGCCGTCTCTGGAAGCATTTCTAGCCCCCGTTGACCTTTCCGGCGTCGCACTTGTTCAAACCCTAGCTTCAATCTCAACGGAGGTTGTTTCTTGTTTCACCTCTGTACGATTCTCGTTTCAACGCAAGAACGCTCGTTCTTTGATTCGTAAGATCGAGATCTTTGTCGTATTGTTCGAATTTCTCGTAGATTCAAATTGGGGCTCATCAAGAAGTAGAAGAAGAAGCTCTGTTTCTGAATCAACAGCTTTGCTTTGTCTCAAGGAGCTTTATCTTCTTCTCTATCGCTCCAAGATCCTTGTTGATTACTGCGCTCAATCTAGTAAGTTATGGCTCTTGTTACAAAACCCTTCGATTTCTGGGTATTTCCATGATTTGAATCAAGAAATTTCGACTCTTTTGGATGTTTTACCTGTCAACGATCTTGGTTTAAGCGATGACATTAGAGAGCAAGTCGAGTTATTGCAGAGACAATCAAGAAAATCAAGATTGTATATTGATAAGAACGATGAATCGTTACGTGAATCATTCTATTCGTTTCTTGATGGGTTTGAGAACGGTGAGATTCCGAATTCGGTTGATCTGAGATTGTTCTTTGTTGAGAAATTGGGGATAAGGGATTCGAAGAGTTGTCGAACCGAAATCGAGTTTTTGGAAGAACAGATTGTGAATCATGATGGTGATTTGGAGCCTACGGGATCGGTTATTAATGGTTTTGTGGCGATTACCAGGTATTGTAGGTTTTTGTTGTTTGGATTTGAAGAAGATGGATTGGAGTGGAGGATTGAGAATCCGAAGAAACCTCGAAAAGGGTTCGTTGCACAGGA